GAGCAGCTGCAGCTGGCCGTGCAGCTGGAGGGCAGCCTCCGCCTGCTCACCAAGTGCAGCGTCGTCTCGGAGGAAGAGGGTGGATCCACCTGGAAGGTAGGGTGGTCCAAAAACAAAACAAAAACGAAGTTTCTGGAAAAGGCACTGCTCATCAAAATTGGATAGTAGATCGAAAATGAGAGTATACGTATTTTTTTTCTTTTGTTGAGAAACCATTTTAAGGTCTGGCGCTAGTCGATTTAAGTCCAAAGCGGCCGAAAAACGCCTTTAACGCCGTGTAAAATATAAATGTCTAGGCCGATCTTCCCAACTCAGGCATTTTCTTGATCCCCCCCAGAAACTTCGGGGTTTTTTTGGGCCACCCTACTGGAAGGCCGATGTGCAGCTCGACGGGTTCGGCGACGTCTTCCGCCTTCTGTTGCTGCAGCTGCGCGCGGACGGCCAGCTGGCCAAGGTAAGCCACCAGCCAGCCAGGACGGCCATCTATGTTGATCTCGGTGTGGTGCTCGGCCCGCTGTTCATTTGATGTGTCCTCCTCCAGGTTGACGACGTCTCTGCCCCCTTGTCCCCTGCCCCCTACGTAGGACCACCAATGACAGCCACCCTGACCATAACAGACAAAGATCTCTCGGGAAGTGATTTAAAGGTGAATGATATCGTACGTGACAAACAGCGGTGGAGATATGCACGCTGCATAAAGGGCTTGAAGGGCAAGGGCCCGGATAAACTACTGCGTGTCCTGGCGTCGCACCCGGTGCACCTCGAAGAGCTCGGATGCTCCGGTCCGGTAGAGCTGAAGGTCATGGAAGAGGTACTGAAACTGACTTCACTCAAACGGCTAGACGTCAAATGCGTTTATCAGTGTGACGACTACCCGGACCTGCCATTGCAGCTGGAAGAGCTCAGAATAGAAACTCCAAGTGAGCGTCAGCTGCTTAGTGTGCAGCGTATGCCGGCTCTGCAGAGCCTAACGGTGTGGGGTTACTGTGGTCCCAATGTAAAGTTCACCCCCTCACAGTACGGGACACTGCGCTGGCTGCACGTGGCCATCAGCACTGCTCGCAACCCTACCATGCTCTCGCTGGTCCGCGCGTATGCCTCGTCACTGCGGGAGCTGCAGGTTTTCTGTACCATCAGTCACGACGAGCTTAAAGGTGGCTTCTACTTCCCCGGCCTCGGACGAGACCTGGCTGCGAGCGGCCTGCTGCACCTCAAGCGGTTCGTACTCGTGCGTTTGAAGAGCCAGTGCACGGATGTCGCTGCCTGCCTCGTGCAGCTGCAGAACCTCCGCGGCTTCCTGCCCTCCTCGGTGGAGGTGGTTTGCTCCGCGTGTTAGACATCTTCTCTATGATACTGCTTCTGCAGGAGGACCTGCACCAAGAACGAAGCTTCTGCCGTCCAAGACATGTCATACTGTCACTAACTCTTTTTTTGTGTAAGGTTTTCTTAAATTTGATTGTCTAAGAACAATCAAATTAAACATTGACCCTAATTTCGTTTTACCGAATTGACACAGCAGTCTCTTTTCTGCCTTCTTCATCACTGTCGGTGAAGCTGATGAGACATTTCCGGTCGGTCCTGCTGCTACGCTAGACCACCGGAAGAGAGGCGGAGGGGTGTCCCCGCCGCGCATCCTGCAACCAACTAGCTACCGCGGCCGGGGGTGGGGAGGGCAGGGCACCCGGCGCGATAGGCCACTCGCACCGGCGGCGAGAGCTGCGGGCTCGCCAACCTCTCAGACTAACTGCGTTGATAAATCTTCGTACTCTCGGTGAAATTGGCACAATATCGGGTGCGCCCAGCTTTAGAGGCCGGCAGGGCCAGGCGGCGGGCCCACACGGACTCACCCGGCCCACCCGTGCAGGAGCCGCGCGGCGTCCGGGCCGTCGCCTCCGTGGTGCTCCCCGGCGCCCCGCGGCCGGGCGGGAGGAGCGTGGGGTCGTACAGGCGAGGGGGAACCGAGGGGAACCAACTTGGAAATTTGGTGAACTGTGAATATATTCAAATATTCAATGTCACTGAATACCAGTGAATATCACTGAATACCAGTGAATATTCACTGTGATTGTTGATTAATATCCTTGAATATTGATGAATATCAATGAATATCGATGAATATTTTGAATATCTTGTGAATATTCGCAAATATCTCCTGAATACCTTTTAGATATTAACCAGCGGGTGCACCGTGAATAGTCGAAGTTGATGCCCCCTCGTACAGGGCCCCACCGAGGGGTCGTCAACTCTCCTTGGCCGTGTACGGAGGAATATTGAATATTACAAATAATATTGGTAATATTGAGACAATTTTCAAGCTGTGACGTCATAATACAAGAAAATGTGTAATATCGAGGTA